ATCCATCAATATCCAGTCTTTGTAGTCCAGCCTTGATGAAGCCACAGTTTATTGAAAATGCACTTTTCCAGGCATCTCGTTCCTATTGGCGTCCGAAGGGGTTGTGGCCTTCCAGGTTGGAATTGCTTCTAATTTTGGCAAATATTTCAGAATATCCCCCCCCTTTTTTTTTCTCGAGCACCTTCATCATCACTTTCGCCTCTTAAAGAACTTCCGGCTTCACGCTTTCGTCACAATCTGCCTAAATTTATAGATAACACCTGTTTCGAAAGATTGGGTGAATAGCCATCAGACACCGATACTTTCGTTCGGGTAGCTAATTTTTTTTTTTTTTTTTTTTTTTTTTTTTAAATCGTTTGCAATTTTAATTCCATATTCATGAGAAATTGCAATTCACACATAGAATGGCAATCATTAGAAATGATAAGAAATGTCAAATGAGCAAAATTAAGGACCACTTATTCATTTTGGCCAAAATTAAGGACTTTTAAGGACCAAAAATCATTTTTGAAAAAATTAAGGACTTTTAAGGACCGTACGAACCCTGTATGTGGCTGATAGCTAGATAAAAGATGTCTTACTTGACCTACTAGATGAACACAAACCACACAATATATATACTCCAGATGAAACTGCATTACAAAACATTATAAAAACATGCATTACTATTTGAAAGGGAAACAGCAGCTGGTTTAAAAAAATTGATGTTCCTGTGTTAATAACTTGCAATATGGACTCAACAATTAAGAAGACAGTATTGCTTATCAACAAAAGCAGAAAACCTCGAGACAAAGAACATCTATGTAAAGAAGGAATGGTTCCATAGACATAATGTAAACCAGTTTGCTATGGAAAATTCACCAAGGGATTTGTCGACGGAACCTCACAGCGAGAATGTCCCCCTCCGCGATGTGTACAGGAAACTGAAGAACACATTAAGAAGAAATGTTCTTTGACAAAACATTTCTTCTTTGATTTTTCGCAATAATTTATACTTGGATTGTCGTGCTTTTTTTTTTTTTTTTTTCTGAAAAAAACTAATCTATTAATTAATTTACTAGTGCGAAAAAATATACTAATTTTTTTTTAAGTTTAAAGAAATTTAAAACGATATTTGTTTTATGAACTCTTGCTAAATGTGACCTTCATATTTCGCCACCGGCTTCCAGCTTTGGTGACATATTTTGTGCATGCACAGCTGTTTCCCTCTACGTTGGGACGGAGCCACTCCTGTTGCAGAGAGGTTTTCCTTCTTAACAATACATATTCTTTGTTTCAGAGGTTTTAAATAATAAAATACCAAAGAACTTCTTAACAAAAAAACTCTTGGACATAACAATACATATTCTTTGTTTCAGAGGAGTAAAGATTTAAATAATAAAATACTACAAGAACTCTAAAATACTACAAGAACAAAAACTCTTGGATGACAATTAGCATTTTTGCAGATTTCTTTGAAACACAGCGATATTTTGCGAATGACATGGGGACAGTGAACTGAGAAACGAAAAAAAAAAAGATTTTACTAATTAGATAACTGTGAAACACACACACACCTCCGATCTTTTTCTGAAAAACATAGGTGTCACTTCCTGCAGTGTAACATTTAGCCTTTAGACCAGACAGGTATTAACGGTTTCAATGCCATTACAGAAAAGATATTTAGCTGAGCCACAACTACCTCCTTATGAAGGGACAGACAATTTACATCTATGCCTTCTTCAGGCCCTTGGATAAGGCAGTTAGAATCACTAACCACTTTCCCATCTAGGTAGCCATTACAGAAAAGGTGAATAGAATTGAATTTTGTGAAAATGCACTTCAAGGGACATAAGTAAGTCGACAGTTCATGCAGAAGGTTTATCTCTTAAAAATCAGTTAAATATTGTTTTCGAAAAGGAGGATGTTGAAGAAGCCTTAGAGGAAATACAAGCTATAACTAATGTTTGAAACATCAATGAGGAAAGCTTAGAAGATTCAATAATATGCATCAATTTACAAAAATATTGAAGCAATCTATGTAAAATCTAACTATGAAAGAGTTGAAAGTACAGTAGAAATCGACAGTGATAAAAAAAGCGACGATATGCCAACACCAATTGAATCTATAACAGCACTATAAATCTAAGACTCTTGAACTGAGAGATACTGATGAGCAATTTTCAAAATTGAGAAAATTTAAAAACTGCTCTTGAATAATATGAAACACACACAGCTAGAATAACTGTCTGTAAGAGAGAAAATTTTAGCAAGAACGTAATTAGAAAAATATTTTTATAAAAAATTAGAAAAATGAATTTCAAAACTTCATAAATAGTTTCATTTTAGCATTAATTTTAATTACTACAGTCAAAAGTCGTTAATCCGGACTCGTCGGGACTTCGGCGATTCCGGATTATCGATTTTTCCGGATTATAGATCATCAGTTTAAATCTGGTAAAATGGCATGCAGAAATTATAAAATTAAAAATATGAAACCGTAATTTACGAAATAAAGAACAATTATGATCTAAAGGGTATCAAAATTTACAAAAAAAAAGCTTAATATTTATTGTTTACTTATTAAAATTCTTTCAATGTAAGTTGTTTAAGTGCTTCGTTTTTATGTGAAATACATTCACTTTAATTCTATAAACAGACATAATTTCTTGTTCAGTTACAAAGTTCCGCTGTTCAAGTCCTATAATTGCTGTGTCGAGTATACCGACTAATTTGTCAATCGAATTTTTCGTTTTCAATAACCTCTGCCACTTTCTTCGCTATCGAAGTGAAGTGAATTATAATGACGAGGGCATTTGATTTTAAATCATCAAAGACGGAGTACATCGAGATGAAATACTACATTGAGTAAGCAATTATAAGCCAATAAAATAAAAACATCTGCCCTTAAGATAAGGATAGTGCTGACAAATCAACTTCAATTCATTGCACGCCGCAGCGTTAAAGAAAAACAAAGTTTAGATAAACAAACGTTAAAGTTTAAAAATAAACAAAGGATATGCCTTTATCGATTTTTTGCAGCAATTCCACTTCTTGTTTTAATGGACTCCGAAAGATACTTTCGCTTTGTAGATCCTTTACATATTAGTAAATATATATCGGAAATTCTGTTTGACATAATCGAAAGTTCAAGCTTACTTTATAAATTGCTCTAACATTCTGCAAAAAATAATAATCCGGATCCAATTCGAAGATTAAGGAACAACGCAATCTGCACATTAACTGAAATAGATAATTAGATAATTTTAGCTTAGCTTATCCGTCCGTTATACATTAAACGAGCTTCGTAAACGTATTTTGCGCACGCGCGCAAATTCGCAGCGGTAAAGGTTCTTACGCGCATGCGTCAACGCGACGCATGCGCAGAAAGTTTGTAGCTTTGAGGTCCGGATTATAGATCATTCCGGATTATGGGTGTCCGAATTAACGACTTTTGACTGTATTTTAAGATAAATTATTCAATTAGTTGTTTATTATTTTACTTGAAATGTTTAAAACTGATATCATAATTTGAAATCCACAAATTGCAATCTATTAAAATTACAAAATTCACAAAAAAATCACCTTTCCTGCTGTCTCCGATGTATTTTTATTTTTCAAAAATGCCTTGTATGAGATTATAAGTTGTAATGTTTTCTTGAATAAAATTGCTTTACGAATTTCATTACGAAATAAGCACAATGTATGGCAAATGACATAAGTAAAACAATGAGAAAATAAAAATTCCCCCCATCTTATAACAAAGATAGATAGTAGCCATACTACTAAGAGTTCTGAAAAGAACATTTTACTCATGAAAAGATTAATGGAAGAAAAGATAACTAGCTGAAGAGTACTAAAAAAAAAAAAAAAAAAAAAAAAAAAGTAAAATAATTGCAATAGGTTTACCATTATCTGATCTGATGGAGATACAGTGGAACCTCGAGATACGAGTTTGTTCCAGCATTGAGCTCGTATAGCGAATTTCTTGTATCTAGAAACAAACTTCTCCATTGAAAATAATGGAAATTCAGTTATTCTGTTCCGAATCCCCAAAAATATCAACATAAAAATCTATTTTTCCAATAAATAACACTGGTAAATAATATAACCGTACTTTACCTTTATGACAGCTTCCGACACCGAATCGCGTCTCAATGTCTTCTAGGAGTTTTGGATGGTGCTTGAAAGTAATGATAACTCCTCTGGCCACATCAAGTTTCTTAATTTCTTCCTTCTTCTTCAGAATAGTGCAGATCATCAAATGTCGAATAGCTGTAAGTCTTTACTAATTTCATTACTTTTATACCACGCTTATGTCTATCAATGATTTCTTTCTTAATTTCAATGACCATGGCTTCCTTCTTTTTTTGGGGGGGGGGAATAGCGCCATGCATACCAACAGCCTGGCTCATTGCTCGTTACTCGAGTCAATACTCATATTTAGAGACAGATTTTTCGCTCATACTTTCCTCGTATTTCGAATTTTTTGTATATAGAGGTGGTTGTAACTCGAGGTTCCACTGTATAGACAAACAATTCACTTAAAAGTTTTAGCCATAGAGAGACAGCTATAGTCATTCTTGTTTTTACATGCTGTCAGGAAGCACCCTTCGTAATCATAAAACTCACAGAAGTACAACATACGCAGTATTGTCAAACTGGTTTTGAATTAATTTTCAGCCATTGCACATACAAATATTTTTTTAGTTTTCCAACACTTTATGTGAACTCAAATTATCCACACCCTGAGAAGCTCTGAAATAGAGTACCAATTGATTAATTTTATATCTCCCAAGTAATTTGAGTTTCCAATATTAGGCATTTAAATTAATCTTATGAAACTTGTTACAAAATGTAAAAGACACATACAAAAAAGATCATATCACAACACTCTAATCTTAACTAATATGAAAATATCATCCCACAAGTAGTAATCTTTATCATCATTAAAATAAGAATAAACTGTAGTTGGTCTAAAAAAAAACATACAAACAATATTTGCATCATTTTAAACTAACCTTTAATATCCAAAATTTTTTTCGATATTAATTTTCTTAATATCTTATCAGCCTGATGTATAGCATTCTTGGAACAAATTCTTTGAGCTTCAATCTATAATTAAAAAAATAAATAAATAAATAAATAATGGTGAATGCAGTTTTATAAGAATACATTTAATTTTTTTTTTTTAATACGGAAAATATATGTAACAAATTCCTACAAAAAAAATTAGTGGAATCGAATCAGGCAAATATGAAGGTCAACTCATTGATTTCGGATAAGAATTTGCATAAACGCCAATCACATTTATCCTGAACTAACTAATAGCACATGAAAAAAATACCATTTGCTCAGCATAAATGTTAACTGATGGATTCATGTATCGTTTCAATCAATCTCGAGCTTAGTTTGGTGTTTCAAACTTTTGAACTACACTATGTAACATGGAATGAAATAGGAGCTTTCCAGACCTCTTATTCACTATTCATGCTTCAGATTCCCTGTAAGAATATTATGTTTTAATTTCTTAATATCACCAGCCACAAATTAATCATTTTTAATAAGTCTTTAAAAGAAACCGTGATTGATATCAATAATTACTTTTAAGTAAATAAATATTATTACCACAAAAGTTAATTCCATCTATTAAGTCACTGATTGGTGAACTGGATTTTCTAGAGGCATTTCACATTAAAAAAAAAATCTTCTGTTCTAATTAAGGACCCCAATTCCAATCCATCTTTGCTTTCAGCCTTTAAAAAAATTATGTTTTAGTTCTGGTTTCATCAACAGATGGTGCCAGTAGCTTATATCCTGTCCAGGCTTTCTTATCTTATCATTATATCTTATCTCGTTCATTTGCACTTTTGCAGCTGAGGATGATGGTTCGGTAAAACCATAGAAACTAGTCCTATGAAATTTGAAAATACAACGCTGATTTTTGTTGTTTGACTTTTAAATTAATATTTGTTCGGCTTGTTATTGTATCTTAACTAATTAATTGTTTGTCTCATGCATGTGCAACAGGCATGTTTCTCAATTAATAACTAAATCAGTTCTCATATATACTTAATAATTATGATCATGTAGTAATTAATTAATTTAATTACACACTGACAAACAGTGTTCAATGATGTTCAGCAATTTATAGTCACAAACATAAATACAAACTGTTACAAACACGCAGTAACATGCCAATAAAACCCTTCTATTGCAAGATAGTCTAAGCTTTAATATTTGAATATGTTTCACCAAAGTTTTTCTAATCTGATGTGATTCATGTAACGTGTTGAAAATGTTTCAGTTAAATATCATGAATGTAAATGTTTTGAATCATAAACACACTCCTATGCTAAATCCTCAACATTCCTACTAGTCACTCCTGAAGAATGATATGTAGGAATTTTCCTGTAGATGTACTGGGTACTTGTGTTTAACAGTTACTCGGCACTCTCACCAGATTGGAAGCATCTGGGGATCACTGTGTGTATAGGGGGAAAGGTACCAAATCTAATTAATTGATTTTGGCTAAAGAATTAAATAACTAAATTACCAGTTCCCCCTAATAAAATTCCAGTACCACCTTTCTTTAAAAACTATAATAAAGCTCCAACTCCAATTAAAGTCTGTTTTATAATTAATTAAATCGTAAAGTAGAAATGCTCTTTTAATTAGAGACTTACAGATAAACTGCAAAAACATGCGTTTCCCAGGGTAATTAAACAATTTACACAGAGCAATAATGTATAATAAAATAACTTGCACCAACACTCTTCTAATTTATTACCTTTTCACAAACTAATTAATGCATAAAACACCAATGCTCCTACTGATTAAATGCTTCTGTACAACCCTGTTGGGATTTTGGTAGTTCTTCATAAGAAAGTTAATAGTTCTAGTATTATATTTTTAGTAAATGGAAATATATATTGTTATGAAATGTCCACCACCTGGTAAGATAGCTTCCTCGCAAGGTGGGTTTAGGGTTGCCATAAATGGCAAGTAGATGCAGGGTTGTCAGATTTGGCATGAAATTGTCCATTTGGTGACAAAATTGGTGATATGGCATAGACAGATGGAGAACCTTCTACAACGAATTCTTACTGGTTTGGTCCAGAATGCTCTTGAAAACATGTCAAAACCTATGCAAACCTGCCTGTATGAGAAGTAGTAGTCTATTAAGTTGATTGTCAGTCTAGTGTCAAGTTGCTCATCGAGTGCATCAACAGAGTCTCTTAGTGTTTCGCAAATTAGTGCATCAGCGAGTCTAGCATAAGTGTGTCATTGAGTACATTGCGAGTTGTAACATGAAGAGTCTCGAGAGTACACCGAGTTTCCAAGAATGACCGAACAGAGTTGGGAGCTATATTCTATTGCTTTACTATGAAGCTGTCTTCACCGCTATAGCTCGATAGCTTGAAGGCTGTGTTGCTGATTGTTTCAGCATGCTTGTTGTAGTTTTTCAATGACTGTAAACATGCTTTTGGAGCTGTTCTGTGTAATATTGGCTAATAAATGTGTGTTCATTCTTCATCAAGTGTTGTCATTAATCACTCCAAATCCATGACTCCATACAGAATGCAACAATATATATAAACAGCTCGACTATTTAGAAAGCTCAAGAAATGCTGAATTTCAGATATGTGAAAATTCTGGATAGCTGAGCCTATAAAAAACAAAATTCACATTAAAAAGCCCAATCAAGGGGAAAATTTCCACTTTAAAGTTAGAAAAACAATTATCTTATTTGTTACCAACTTTAATATCAAACGCCTACTTTTAAATTATATACGGACATGGTGAAATGCAGTGTATACTCACTGTTTAATCATTGGCAATGTGGGTATTGTCCAGCTGCACTAATAATCTAGAAAACTACATTCCACATAACCGACAAAAAGGCCCACCAAGGTGTCAGACTTGGTGCATTCCATACCGTGACATGCCTCTTCTGACAGGAACTAGATTTCTCTACCAATTGGCCAAGTTGTTGGTCAAATTTGAAAAAAGTTAATTATTCTCTCTCTCTCTCTCTCTCTTTTTTTTTTTTTTACAATGATGCTTTCATAGTTGATGCCTCTCATAATTACACACTATGGAGAACAGTTCCACTTCTGTACGCATTTATACTCTATTACGGTTAAGTGCGATGGCTGAGGTTACATTCTACATTTTTGCAAAAAATTATTTGCTTTTTGTACACAGCTACTATTGTGAATTACTACAGTTCACTATTGTGAATTACTACAGTTTTAGAATTTGGCAAGTCAGAAGGCTCTCATTAAGTTTCTAAATTTAAAAGTCTCATTGTTATTAGTCTATATTGCATATTAAAATCTATATGTCTATTACATCTACATTGTTCGACTGCTATACTTGCACGTAGTTTGCTTTTACAGTGGGGCACTGTGGCATTTTTGAAAATGTGATGTTACTTTAGTTTCATTTCTTGGACAGGGAGTACCTTTGCTATGCTATTTTATGCTGTGCTGCATAGCTCATTGTCTCTTTTGACAGAAAGTTCATTATGTTTGTGATTTCCTTTCGAGATGGTTTTTCTTGATGGCATAACTTAATGAGAGGATTTACTTTACTTTGTGAGTTCAGAATTTTTAGATCATGTTCAGCTGTGACATAGTGTTAAGGTTGCCTCTTTCTCCACATACACACTGATCTGATATAGCTATATTCCTTTCATATAAGTACATGGGAAAGGGGTTATGCCCTGATATGAAGCACATTATTTCTTCGAACTAGATGCAGTGTCTACTTTTGGGAACAGTTGATATGTCCTTTTCACTTGTTTGGCATTATCCCACAAGTTCTGCCATTCAGCTTTAGATTCATTGGTTATGAGTTTCTTGAAGTGCACGCCAGGCCATGGCACTGATACGTTTTATGCATTTTGACCCCTTACTGAATCTTTGGTTAGAATGTCAGCTTCCTCGTTACCTTCTGTCCCTGCATGTGCTTTCAGGCATGTGACTTAAAAGTTTTGATTTGTTATACTGAATTTCTTTCTGTAATCTCTTGAATTAATTACGATGTATGGTGTGGGTTCACGATGGCGTGCATTGCTGAAAGACTGTCTGTGAAGATATTATGATACTTTTAGCGAGTTTGCAATGGTGCATTTTATTTCCAGGAGTGCTTCTGATTCTGACTGGAATACAGTGTTTTATTGGTTCAAGTGGAGCTTTTGTTCGGTTGTCAAGTTGGGGGTTTAGGCAGATTTTCTTTCTGCTGCCTTTACCTTCTTCTAGGCCAGAACAGTCTGTATACCATTGGGAGAATTTTTCTTTTCATTTGCTTCTTTTTTTCATGCTTAAAATGATGTGATTTTTCTTTCCTGGGGACGGGGGGAGGGGCACATATGGGCGTGTTTGTGACTTGTATTTCTCTGCTGTAAGTTCTACGGAATTGTAGTTGCTATTCTTTCATATTTGGAGTACTGTTGTCTTGCAAAATTTTTGCTCAGGTCATATAACAAGTGGTGTGTTGTTTAGAATTGTTGTGGTTTTAACAATTTGGAAGAGGGCTACATCTGATGTAATTCTGTAGCTTCCTGTGTAGTTGAATAGAAAGAGCCGCTGGATTGCATGAAGCTTTTTTTTTTTTTTTTTTTTCTTTCTTTCTTTTTGTTATCAGTTCTGTCCATATGGCTGCCCTGTATAGGACAATATTTTTTATTACTGTATGGCTGTACGGGGTAGATGAGTTTTGGGTCAGTTTGTTATCCTCCATCTGCTTATCCAGTTATATCATATTATCTACAGTAGCAATTCCTACAACTCAGACTGACTTAAATCAAAATTAAATAGCATTTGATACGGACTAAATAACATTTGATAATTAAATAACATTTGATACATAGAAAAAATTTTGTAAAACACATTCATTATTTACTTTTTAATCAACGAAAATTAGAAAAATTGATTTTTTTTAATACCATTATTTTTTATAAAGCTTTGCATGAAAGATTCTAGTTTAGAAGATGAGAACCACTTTTCTAATTATAAAAAAATATATAGTTTTCCCTCTTCAAATGTACACAAGTCTTGTAATCATTGACATTAGCACACTTCATTTGGCTTTGGATGGTGATTACTAATATTCTGAATTTTTCAAAATTAAATATTATAAACAAAATGTTAAAAATTAATAAATAAGTAGTAAACAATTCAGAGTACATATTTAATTTTATGCAAAAATAAATAAATAAATAAGTAAAATAAATAAAAATTATGCTTCTTTAGCCTTTTTAATGAGAATATTTCTTCATACAATGTTTAATATCAATTAATGCAAATAATAAAGTTATGTTGCATACTTGGATTTTTTACAGAAAATATTCTACTAGAATGTATAGTTCTCCCAAAACCCACAGATATGAGAAATAAAATTTTGCACTGATTTGAAAGACAATCTAGTTAATCTGGTTTAATAATATGAATGGATAGAAAGTGCATAATGTTTTAATTATTTACTCAAAATGAGCACCCAATAAGATTTAAGTTAATAAGGGATAGATTTCCTTATTATTCTGTTTTAAATTATTTTGAGTTCTTTTTATACAAAGCATCTGATGTATACAATAAAGTTTTGCATTAATTTTTAATATTAGTAGAATAAGTAGAAATTTATTTATGCAAGGTTCACTTCTTAAGTACATAACAGTTAAATCTGACATTTGATCAATAGGAAAAGTTATTTGCCTATATCTAATAATTAAAAAAAAAATAAAATAAATAATAAATAAATAAATAAAATAAAAATAAAATAAATAAAATAAAAAAAAAACTTCAATGCTTCTTTTTTCTCTTTAAATTTTAAAAATACAGGAATTATGAGAACATTAAATTTGACATCTTGATATCACTTGTATGTTACGCTACATATCACATGCCATTTACTAAGTTCATCATTAACTTATTGAATCTTAGTTTAATTGTTTGCCTACATTAAGTTGGGTAAGCTATAAATACCACATAATATATTTATACAGTCAAAAGTCTTTAATCCGGACGTCCATAATCCGGAATGATCTATAATCCGGACCTCAAAGCTACAAACTTTCTGCGCATGTGCATAATACCTTTATGCATGCGCGTATGCGTCTACGCATGCGCATAATGCGTTTACACAAGTGCATTTAATGTAGTATAACGGATGGTATAAGCTAAGCTAAAATTATCTAATTATCTATTTCAGTTAATGTTGCAGATTGCGTTGTTCCTTAATCTTCGAATTGGATCCGGCTTATTATTTTTTGGCGACTGTTAAAGCAATTTTATAAAAGTAAGCTTGAACTTTCAGTTATGTCAAAAAGAATTTCCGATTCTGGAGCTATCAAAGGATCTACAAAGCGAAAGCATGTTTCAATGTCCATCAAACAATGGAATTGCTGCAAAAAATGGATAAAGGCATATCCTTTGATTCTCTAACTATTCCGAAATCTGTTTATCAATTGGATGCGGCACGCAATGAACTGGAAGTTGATCTGTCAGCACTATCCTTATTTTCAGGGCAGATGTTTTTATTTTATTCGGCTTATAATTCCTTACTTTTCTCGCCATTTCATTTTATTTCTACATTTTGTAATTGCTATAAATTCTACTTTATGTAATTGCAATAATTTTTACATTATGTAATTGCATTCTGTAATTAATAAATGCTAGCATTAAAAGTATTGTGAACACAGAACAGTAACTATGTACTCAAAATATAATTTGATTATAATTTACTTATTCTAATTATATACAGTCAAAAGTCTTTAATCCGGACGTCCATAATGCGGAATGTAGTATTTCATCTCGATATATGTATGATCTTAAATTCATTTAGTGCGAAAACAAGTTACTACTACTTGCGCAATTGCTGCAAAGTTAGTTAATAATAATTTATTTCCTAAACAATATTGATTAATTGATTATATTATCTCCTAAGTTTAATTAAAGTAGAATTATTTTAAAAGAGTGAATCCATACTGGTAAGTTATATTTTGAAAGATGTTTTGAAGTAATTTGAAAGCAAAATGTTAATAATGTTTTAACGGGGACTGGAGTTAAATCATCATGAAGAATAAAATTTCAATTGTAAAGGAAAAATTAAATTAAAACATGTAATCATTGTCATTGATCGGAAATTAGTTGACTTTTCAAGGGGAACAAACCAACTCCCGTTCAATGAACAATAATTGATAAAAATACGTAAATACGAAGTGTTTCGTCTTTACTCGAGTTATAAAGTAACGCCAAACCGGCACTTCTAGTCAAGCCAAATATTTCCGCGAATAGAAGGGATTACGAACCAATGCTGATACTCAAAGAACTTATTCTTATGAAGCATTTTAGCCAATTCATAAATGTAGTATTTCATCTTGATGTACTCCGTCTTTCATATGATTTAAATCAAATTTCTCGTCATTCTAAATATCAGGAATACACATCAAATAGTTTTCTGGTTGCAATTTTCCAATTTCGACTATGCGTAATGTATGCTTTACGCATGCGCGCGTTGAAAGAAATTTTTAGTAAAGTGAACAAATAAATATTAAGCTTTTTTTTGTAAATTTTGATACCCTTTACATCATAATTGCTCTTTACTTCATAAATTACGGGTTCATATTTTAAATTTTATAATTTCTGCATGCTATCTTACCAGATTTAAACTGATGATCTATAATCCGGAAAAACCGATAATCCAGAGTCGTCGAAGTCCCGACGAGTCCGGATTAAAGACTTTTGACTGTATATTATACATTACAGTATGGTCAGGCATTATACTGGATGGATGCATAGACTGTCTTAGACAGAGATTTTGTGACTGCTGTGAAGTAAAAGGATAATATTTTAAAACCCCTTGTTTACCTTTTCAGGAGTCAGTAGAGCTACATTTCATTTTTATGGACAACTCTCATCCACACAGAGCTAATCTGATGGATGATTTCTGGAAAGTGAGGGTATTAATCAGGTGGATTGGCTAGCTAGATCTCCAGAATTAAACACTATAAAACATGTCTGCAATGCACTTGACAGGATACTTACAACTTCCCTTTCCCCTCACAAAACCTGAAAATGGCACTGTTGTTTATCTCTCATCTGACTTGCAAGAGTGAAACTAACTACCAAAGGGATTCATAAATTGTTCATTTTTTGTAAGAAGTCATGTTGCGAGAATTGTACGACTCTTGCAAAGTATCATTAAATTCCTCTTTTGTTCGAACTTGCAGCCTCTGTTTCAGACCATTCTGTGCTGACGAATGATCATACTTGCATGTCATAACCTATGATCATACTTGCATACCTATGATCATACTTGCATGTCATAACTATTGTACGGTACATTTTTTTAAATATCAATCTATGTCAGTACCAAATTTCTTTAAATCTGTCCATCAGTTTTAGAGATATATGACCAAATATAAAAATTATCTTAATTGCGAGTGTCAAAAAGAAACATATGTATATGACTCATATGTACAATCATTTAATGATAAAATAGTATACCTTGTCTTCAGTGACCATAATTTCAGCAGGATTATTAGTAGCTTCTTTTATTATATTAACCACATCCTTCCTACATGAATTAAAAAATTAACTGTAAACAATGACATACAGATAAAAATAATAAACAGCTACAATGACTTTTCATTGAATCTGTTTATTACAAAGCTAAGAAGCTAATATTCATCTCAAAAATCATCTAATACTCATCATCTTGTTAAAGTAAAATTTTGTCAAATTACAAATTCAAAATATATAAATAAGAGATCTATTAAAAATCACTCAATAAAATTTTATCGAAATATAGTAAAGAATAGAAAAAATTTCAGATAACTGCATTATCATTATAAAAGACTATTGTAGATATTTTGCACAGTCATAAAACAAGTGGAATGTTTGATGTGATATTTAAGGTACAATTTGCCTTTCTGCCCTGCTTATAACTAAAAACAACAAAACTGTCACAATCTTAATAAAACAAATTATGAATTAATTACTTAAAAGTTTATGATCTACTTACATATAAGATACAATTGCTAGGACACTGTCAATTCAGACTCTAACTGAATGAATTCAATTAATAGGCTGCTTCTACACATTGGGAGAGTGGGCTAGTTACAGTGATATATCATTCAACATAGGGGCAGTGCAATGATAAAAGAATAAACTGGTTGAACTTCTGCAGTAAAATCTTACCTCTCGGCTTATACAAAGATCAGCTTATATTAAGAAATATATGAAACCTAATTATTAACCCAAAGATCTATTTGACATAGAGCAGTGGGCTTAATGCTAAACTGCCTTATTTCAAACTTTAGAATAAAGAACATTTCAGAAAGATACCTGTTTAGTGCAAGTTTTTTGCTTTTTCACATGATATAGAACAGCCAATCACTATAATTCCCTCTTGTTAAATTTCATAATTCCCTCTTGTTAAATTTCACACAAAAGAGAAACTAGTACTCCATTAGAAACACAGAGAAAAGCAACAAGGAATTCCTACTCAGGTACTCTAGTTCAATGCTCACAAATGATTGAGCGAAAACCTATTATCTACAGCTTTTTGCATAAAGAAGGAGAAAATAACACATATTTCTTTTAATGATAAATTCAGTGGAAAAATTGTTTACAGCAAGTATTCATTTGAAACCGGTCAATGAGCAATACCACTGTAATTTCATTTATAAACTGCAGAATGAGTTTCAGAATGAAGATTCAGTATCAGCGAGTCAGTATGAAGTTGATCATATATTACAATCACTTCTAAAAATTGTTTTCTAAGACTCTTTAATAGAATGAGGAGGAATGCTTTGTGGCCAATCATTTTGTAGCAATAGAAGCATACAATGGCCATAAATAATTTTAATTTTAAGCTACCATGGCCATAAATAATTTCACATGCAAGTTGTTTATGCAGGTTGCTAACTGTGATCTCTTTACAGAATCATACAAAGGAGGTCAATTAATCTGGATTAGATATATATCATAAATCACAGTCAAACATAGAAGGTCATAAATGTTCACAGAACAGTTCAAGTACAATATTACATCTGGGTCACTAAAGAAGAACTAAATTTAGCTAACTGAACGTATTTGACGAAAAGTACCACCTAAATCATTTTGGGTAACACTGTTAACCTCTACATGTCCATCAGTAAAAGTGCAAATATATTGAGAACATCATCCCTGGCATGTATGTCAGTAGCGTAGTTAACAGTTCTCACTTTTTAACAGATGATATTACTCAAGCAGCCTTATTTCTTGTGGATTTCACGAAGAAGTTTTAATCATCTATCATCTAGAAAAAAAAGGAAGATGGCCATATGTTCTGCATCAAATTTCTCATCTGCTTTCTAAATTCTGAAGCCTGTAAAAGACTGAAAATATGGTTGAAGAAAACATGATGTTCTCAGAACAACAATTAAATTCGACATTAAAATTCAACAAGGGGATAAAAAGAAAATGCTAAGTATGTACTCAAGATAGGGAGACTTAATAGTTAAGACAGATCTCTGCAGTTATTCTTATAAATGTGTTAATTTGTTTAACTATTCAATTTTTTAATAAATACTGTAATAATAAATATTGTGCAAAAAATTCTTAATTTCCAAAGGAAAAACTTTTTTCAAAATAATAATTATTTCACTATACTTTTCAAAATTAAAATATGTAAATAACTTACACTGGAGAATTTTCATATGATAATGAAGAATCAAATACAATAGAATATTTTTCCCATTTATATTTTTCAGAATCAGGATACTCCATACAAGACAGCATTCTTTTTATTCTATCTTCTGGAATGTGATACCCTCTAATACTGTTTCTATGGATGGCAGTATTCAAAGCACATTGCAAAAATACTTGACAAAAACCAATGTTGGCTACAATGAAATATGAAACAAAATATCATAATTCATGCAGTTATGACTTAAACCACAATTACAAAAGCTAACAAAATACAGCAGACAACATGAATATTTGCAATATTAACACCACATGTTAATTTGATTAAATATCTGCAATACTGCATGACATTTACTAGTCAATTTACTAGATATCTAGTCAATCTATCTATAGCCAATTTAGTCTACCTAGTCAATTTACTAGATAGACTAGGCTGAGTATATCTTAAACAAAATCAGGAAAAGGGTGGCCTTGTAAATCTTGGTGGTAGCAATTTAGCAATTTCTGATGTCATATTTGAGTATTATTTTAAAGGCACAGGATACGAAAATATAAATCAAATTAATCATATTATTCCATTTAAACAGGAATTTTCATATGCTGTACTACTCTTTGAATGCAAATTATTTATTTAAATAATGTAAATTATTTTAATTTAAATTGGAGTTAATAAGAATATAATAATTATAGATTCTATTAACACATATAATATTGTTATAGATTAGTTATGCAAATTATTACTCGATAATTTAAAGCTAATGACCATATTTTTATTTAATTTTTTTTTCATTTGGGAATTGTTGCACTTATATTGTTTTTACAAAAATGATTAGAGAAGAAAAAAACATTAGTTTGATCTAAATTACAACTAAATGATGCTTTATTTTTAGTTGTTGTACTAATATTGTTTTTTGCATAAATTAATGATTTAAATTAGAAAAAAAAATTTTATTTAAATTTGAATTGTCTGCTTTCTATCAAATAAAATGTTACATACTACAACAAAATATACAATAATTCAAACTTCTGTCAGAAATATTGTATACTCTACCAGTTTCAAGACTTTCAAATAAAACTACAACATAGCAAGCAGAATAATCGGTAGAACTAAGATGACAACACACTTATCTAAAAGGAGGCAAGTAAAATACAAAGTCTGTAATCCAGACGTCCATTATCAAGAATGATCTATAATTTGGACCTCAAAGCCACACATTTCTTTTTTTGGTATGCTTTACGCATACGTATTAATGCGTGTTTAAGCAAGCGCATTGGGAGGATGTGTCTCCAGATACGTTAAAAAATGCTTGGCATAATTTATGGCCAGCTGGCATATTTCATTGTGAGGACAATGAAGATGATAGCCGCGAATTTGAAGTTTTTCGTACATCGCAAACTAAAGGTGAAATTTTCCAGTTATTGGATTTTGTAAAGAAATGTGGAGAAGCAGTAATAAATGAAGATGATATAACAGAAGTTTTTCATTGCGACGACAATATTCCAATCATTAATCAATTAACGGACAGCGAAATCTGTAGTATAGTTCTAGATACAGAAAATACCGCTTCCGATAGGTGGAACTTTGTAACTGAACAAGAAATTATGTCTGTTTATAGAATTAAAGAGAAAGTATTAGCACAAAAAACAAAGCAACTTAAACAACTTACATTGAAAGAAATGTTTAATAAAGTAAACAAATAAATATTAAGCTTTTTTTTTTTTTTTTTTTTTTTTTTTTTTTTTTGTAAATTTTGATACCCTTTATTTATATCATAATTGCTCTTTATTTCATAAATTACGGTTTCATATTTTTAATTGTATAGTTTCTGCATGCCATCTTACAAGATTTAAATTGATGATCTATAATCCGGAAAAACCCCTAATCCAGAATCGCCAAAGTCAATATGAGTCCAGATTACGGACTTTGTACTGTATAGACTGTTACTTGAAGAACTACAAGATATTTTTACTATCTCTCCATTTCTAATCGTAATGTGTGATGTCATCACTGCGCATAGTTCAAGTTAACCTTCATTTATGTTCATTCCTTCATTCAACCTTCAATCATCACAAAGCAAAACTTGTTAAACAGAAATGAAATGGAACAAAACAGTTAGATGACTCCAAAAACAGTTGCAGCAGTCATTATCATGATTACAAGGTACACAGAATGTGAAAAAACAACCCTGAAGCCTAATTTAAAGTAACGGATTATAGAAGAAGTAGATGAAAGAAAAAACTTTATTATGGACCATTTTTAACAAAAACTATCACCAAACAGTGTGATTTAACACCAATAATGGATAAGTGTGACACCGTAACACATTAATAAGATCTTCCCCTTGTTTTTATGTAATCCTGATTAATCCTGGATAAGCCAGTTTAGTTTTACTAAAAAAAAAAAAAAAAAAGATAAGTTAGACAGTATTTTTCTGTTTTTCTCTCACATTTTGAAAAAATTATTAAAATTTGGGACTCGATACTGGTGTGCTTCAAAACATTCGACGACTTGGGTTCAGCAGAATAAAAAAATACCATGGAGCTGTATAACACAACAAACAATTCCTATTTAAGTGAACATATGTGGTACTAACTTTAAATTGATGACTATTTCCTTGCTATTTTAAGTGTCATTAAGGATTTCTGGTCGTTGGAATGAGTGCCACATGTTTAATGAATTTGTGAGATAATCTCAAGGCTTGAATTCATGTTTTATATGCTAGATTCATTCATAAGTTTTTATATGCTAGATTCATAATATGCATCTTTTGATTATCTAATTAAATAAAAAAAAAATGACCTGTTTTGTCCAAACTTCCATTGGAATGATGGCAAATAATTAGACAGGACTACAGCCAGTTTTCATGGTTGATGGAAAAATAAGTAAATACTACCAAAATTTTCATTTCAGCCTAATATTATGGACTTAAAATATAAGGCTTCTATATTACTGTAATATAGTAATGATTCAGATATCAGTGACATACTTTTACACTTAAATTTAATTAAGGAATATCATGGTCAAATATCAATCAGTTTCACTGATCAAGAGATTTAGGCTATAAAAGATTACAAAGGGGTTGAAAAATTTATGTATGATGTTCAGTACTATATGTTGAATGAATTCAGAAAGAAAAATTAAATACTGAACACAGTACCGGAAAAACCATAACATGAATTTTGGTTTAAAATTATTTACAGATTTAATGGAAAACAGAAAATATTCCCTGATTTCCTGAATGTTTTGATGTCACTGAGAAAATTACTTAGTTAAAATCTGCCAAAGTCATTCAAACAGCTCCTTATAAGAGAATAACTATGGCTTTTAGATACACTTCGCAAATTACCAGGTAAAAAATGTTCTTACATTAAATAACATTACACTATTCTTAACAAACAAATTTTATAGTGTAATGAATTTTTTGCTCATAGCTCCATGTGTGATTTATAAAAAGCACTATTTTAAAGTACAGTATAAGAGCACAGTAATTACAATCAATCATAAAAGAAAAAATTACATATTTAATTATATTTTAGTCATAACCTATATTTAAGAGAAAATTATCTTTATGCATAATAACAACATAACTCTTAAAAACAAAATCTAATTGCAAAAGTGATCCTAGGTATAACAATCTTCTCTACTATATTCTAAAATGCATTTGATGTCTCACGAATATATATATACATAATATGTATCCTGTACGCAGAAAGAGAAACAAGTAGTAGTGCGTCTTGAGATCTACTCAGTAGCTCTTTGTTTTTACTGTTCAGCTTTTATCAAGTAAATTAAGGCCATAATTTCTGAGATTACTACTTTCAGAACTGGGAAAAAAAATTATATTTCATCTATATTTTTCCAAAAATAATTATTTATGTCTAAAAGCTTTTAAGCCCTGTTTTCATAAGTCAAAACTTGTAGAGAACATCTATACTGTAAATCTTTCACAAAATTATTTGCTTTAATAAACACAAGTCAAATTAGTAATTTCAGACAAAAAAACTGTGTTTTATAAATAATTTTTCATTGATAAATATTTTAGGTGCTTCTTCATAAAAACAGCCATCACGTTAGTTGCCAAAATAGCTTAATGATAATTTTTGTAACTTGCAAGTTTCTAAATACTCCTAAAGACCTATTCATTGGCTGCTTTAAATAGAAATAAATCTAACAAAAAGAGAAAAAAAAAAAAAGTACTATTCCGTTTTGAGGACCGTAAAAAATCGCCAAACCATTGTTGATGCCAGTGCTGCCAAAAATAATTCCGGCAACCCTAACGCAAGAAAAGAAGTATAATAGTAAATATCTAAGATTATGTTTAATTTAGATGAAAGGTTTTTAATATACTTTTTTATATTATTTATATAAAAAGGCTAACATAACTGATAGGAAGCATAAGAATAAATAACTATTTCAGTCATTATTATAATTTATATAAAAAAGGCTAAACATAAACTGAATGGATCCTGCATCACTATCGCTACCGAGTTATCACTAAAGCATAATTTCACTGGGTTGGTTGTTCAAACATAATTTCTATAATGAATGATGCCTTTTCTTTGAAAAATTTCTATTGCAGACTTTTCGTCATGGACAATTCCCAAATTGTTAAATCCATAGGATATGAAAAAAAGGTGTTAAAAATTAAAACTAGTATTTCAATGACATCTTAAGAAATATCTCAACTTAACAAAATCTGAAAATCAGCGTGTACGCTAGATTTGACGCGCTGTTAAATGGGCACGTTTGCTAGATTTGGAGCTTTTGCGCATACATTTTTGCTGCAATTTTTTTACGGTCCTCAAAACGTAAAAACACCAAAAAAATTTTTAAAACCTACCTCTTTTAGCTATTTGAAACCAATCATAGCGCATACTTCTGTAATAAAAATTATCCTCAATAAATATAATAATATCCTTTATATTACTACAAGGTTCATTTAAACTTTCAAGTTTTTTTAATAATTTATAACTTCTTTCAGTTAAGGGTCCAGCCATATTGCATTCAGAACCACAAGCCATACAAATGAATCGTTCAGCAGCCATCAAGAGGTCAATTCGAAAATTCCTCCATCCTTTAATTGTTTGCATCTAAAAAAAAAAAAGTTATAGGATTCAATTATCTGCACACACACACATACACACACATATATATGTAATGAGGCAAATTTAGCTATAATGATACTGTAGAAATACTCATAGCATGTTAGAACTCTCAGACTGTTAATCCATAATGAAGAGCAACTTGGCAGCCTTGTCCATAACGAAGAGCTCTCAGAGAGCTCGCAGTCCACGAGTCTGCTGCTGCAGTCACTCCTGCCAGCTTATTAGCCCACCAGCGGCTCAGCGGTAAAGTCGCTGATCACTGGTAGGTCGGTCCGAGGTTCGAATCTCGCGAACAGGCTGGCTGCATGGGTGCTTTCGCGGTTTTCCCTATGTGTAATGTGTATACGAGCCATTTTTCCTTAGAAAGTCCTCCACGAAGGCATCCCTCCCTTTAGGCAGATAGCCCTCGAGGCTTTGGCATAATCACACACACACACACATTAGCCAGCTTATTAACCCCTTCGCGCCGACTGTCACGTATACGTGCCAGCAACGAACACACTTATCTACCGGCCGACACGCAGGCGTGCCAGAGGATTGTTGTGCATTCTCTACCGACGTCAGTATTTGTGCCAGTACCTTGGAACGTTTTCAAACTATAATTTCTGCCACAAGATGGACTGTATCCTATGGTTTCAGATACATGTGATTAGACCTTCTATTGAAATGAGAGAAGCATGACTCACTACAAGTGTTTTTGATATATAAACAAACGGGGAACTAAATGTGTTCCAATGGCGTGATTTGCCTCTCTTTAAATCGCACTTTATTCGCCGTGGTAGTTTTTATTGTAGTCGAAGTTTTATATGCGCTAAAGCGTTGAGTATTTCCATTTACAGTTCAGTTTTTAGAAAAATAATTAGATCTTGTTAGACGTGAATTCTTTCTGTTTTTACTCGTTCAATGTCGAAGCGTCGAAAATGTTTAACAGATGAATAGCAGAAAGATGCAAAATATTTGAGATATTGATTCTGAAATTCTGATATTGATTCTGAAAGATAACGAAAGACAATTTTCCAAAACTTTGTAGAAGAGATTGATAGAAAATGAGCGCGTGCTTCGTTTGTTCACATTCCGGAAAAATCCTCCAAACGGCAAAATTATTACGGTTCAGGAATGTAATAGGATGTGTAGATCCCTGTTTTAAAATTTTCATACGAAAAGATATTTAAGTAATATATTAGTTTCGATTATAATGTTAAGTCATAAAATGGTGATAATTAAATAAATGGGTAAATATGCATTTAGACAAGAAATAATTAATAAGGTATTATAAAAATATTATAAAGCATAAGCGTTTAAATATCTATAGCATTATTAAACCATGCATTGATACTTCGAAATTTCATGGATTTAGGCTTAGTAGCAAAAAAGCTCCCGGCCCTGGAGAGACGCTCGCGGAAGACACTGCCGGCCTCTGCGATAAGCGCGCGTTTTCGCTACCCAGCTCGAAGGGGTTAAGCACTGTTTTCTTTACAACCATTTGCAACGATTCAACAGCAAAATTTAAAAAACCTTAAATTCAGGATATATTTAGAATTCCCGATGCACTATTAAGTGTTGGCATATGTTTTTCTATTTTTGTCCAGTCTTTTCTTAGTTCATCATATCAATGTTCAGTTTTCTTAGTAAGACGGCTTATAAAACTTTTTTTGGTTGATCTTTGGATTATGGTAACTTGCCGATTTTGTGGCGAAAATTTGGCGACCAACTCTGCTACAGCAACCCTCTTATTTTTTTTTTCCGCCGCCATTTTGTCTTCACGAAGTAAAGACATGTTTCTTTTCTTTTTATTTACTCAACACTTTTTCCAACAATCTACTAGCCGAATTTATGCTAGACTTTTATCAACAAACTGCTTAATCATAACAAATATTCACTGCAAAATTGGGAAAAGTGCACAATAGCAAACTCCTTGCGCGTTTTTCAGAATAACACATACATATAAACCATGTACACGTCGAATTATTTTTACTTAAAAAAAATCCCAGAATTGCACAAAAATGGCATTGCGCACACTCTTCACTATATCCACATACACTGCTTTTTTCTCATAAATTAGAAAAATTTCACGAAAATGCATGACAATTTTCTGAATCTTTAAACCTGTTAAAAAGAACATATATGAAATTACCTGATCGCGAAAAAGTATATACACCTTTCCAAATATGAAACATTTCCACGTATAAAAATAAATAAAATATCCAAAAACTTTTACCTCTACATTATCTATTATTACAAACGTCACCAAACGAATTCATACCGCAACATTATAAATGGTTACAAATACTTAGCGTCAAATATTTAAATTATTTCCATGCACGTTTACTTCCACTCTAAACGTATACCAAATTCCTACAAACATATAATTCACAAAATAACTATCATATTAAAAAATATAATTAAATTCAAAAACACTACTTAAATATAAATAAGCACATACATTAAATTAATAAAAAATTAGCTTACAATCCTAATTACTTTAAAAATCATGTTAATAACAATTTTCCAATAATACAAATTACTTTATTTCCACCTTACATTTAGAACAATGCATAAAAATAATATCCTCAAATAATTAAAAATACTAACTTACCTAATCTTCTTCAGAATCTTGCTTACATGGTGGATACACTTTTATATGATTCAATAAATTATTGAAAAATTTTTTCTGCGAATTTTTTCCTCCACACTTCCTCCGCTAAATAAAAAGCAAAATTCTCTTTATCACAATGCCTCGGAATGGCGATTTTATAGCACTCCACGTGCCCTCTATTGATTGGTATGTGCACCGTTCCGGATCTTTAAAATAATATTAGACAGCGCCATACAATCTGAAAATTATTCAACACTACTTCACACAACCACACAATGAAGCTTAATACTGCAGCTATAGTACTGCAGATGTTTTTCCAAATTTATCCCCTTTTCCGATTAAAGAACTGTAATTTATTTGTCCATTAATGTCACATGCCATATCTCATGATCTCTCATTTCCCTCACACAAAATAATGCGTAATCGGAACTGAGTACTGCTCACATTATTACCAAAGTCCTTTATCGCCTCCAAAATGTCGCCAAACTACCAGTTACCATATTCCAAGGATCAGCCCTTTTTTTTTTAGTCTTCTTATTATTAACATTTTGTGTGTTAACTTTATTTATTAGATATTACAATCTTCACACTTATGTCACATACACTTCAATGAAAAAGCAAAATCACAAAATATTATCATTAGAATTTCTGACAGACTATCTCATGCGATGGAGATAAAAACAAGTACTGCCACTGCTTGTTTTGAAATTGTTAATCAAAAATTCATATCAAAAATTGACAAAATATAAAATATAAAATTCAAAATTTGAGCTTTCAGGTGCACGTTTGGATGGACGACAACATTATTTAAAATTTAATGGCTATAGGTACTGTTTGTTTATTCAAAATATGGTGAACCTACAAACACACATGTATTCTTCATTATATAATTTCTTTAAAGATAATACAGGGCAACACTATTTGGCAGCAACAATTTGAAAAGTGATTCACTGTTTACAGTGGATGACACAACATCTCATTTTGAGACTACATCCCATTCGGGTTAAAATGATCATCAGTGGAAATTTTGCTCACACAAAGCAAATAGAGTTCATTTATAATAAACTATAAAAGCTAAAAGTACAGTCAAAAGTCGTTAATTTGGACACACATAATCCGGACCTCAAAGCTACAAACTCTCTGCGCATAGGCGTTTACGCATGCGCGTAAGGTATTTACGGCTGCAAATATGTGTGTGTGCATGCGCATAATACGTTTGCGCATGCGTGTTTAATGTATAATGGACGGTATAAGCTAAGCTAAAAATTATCTAATTCAGTTAATGTTGCAGATTGCGTTGTTCCTAATCTTCGAATTGATCCGGCTTATTATTTTTGCAGATGGTTAAGCAATTTTATAAAAGTAAGCTTGAACTTCGATTATGTCAAATAGAATTTCTGATATATATTTACTAACATATAAAGGATCTACAAAGTGAAAGTATATTTCAATGTCCATTAAACAAAAAGTGGAATTGCAGTAAAAAATGGATAAGCAGATATCCTTTGTTTCTCAAACCATTCCGAAATCTGTTTATCAATTTCACGCTGCTCTGCGGGGACAAGGGGGAAGGGAAATGCCGCGGCATGCAATGAATTGGAAGTTGATCTGTCAGCACTATCCTTATCTTCAGGGCAGATGTTTTTATTTCATTTGGCTTATAATTCCTTCCTAAATGTAGTATATTTCGATGTTCCATCTTATATGATTTAATCAATTCCTCGTCATTATAATTCGCTCCGATCAAGTGACACAGAGGTTATTGAAAACGAAAAATTTCGATTGACATTATTCGTATTCTCGACACAGCAATTATAGGACTTGAACATGGAAATTTGTAACTAAAGAAGAAATTATGTCTGTTTATAGAATTAAAGAGAAAGTATTATCACATAAAATGAAGCAACTTAAAACAACTTACAATGAAAGAAAATTTTAATAAAGTAAACAAATAAATATTAAGCTTTTTTTTTGTAAATTTTGATACCCTTTAGATCATAATTGTTCTTTATCTTAAATAACGGTTTTCATATTTTTAATTTTATAATTTTTTTTTCTGCATGCATCTTACCAGATTTAAACTGATGATCTATAATCCGAATCGCCGAAGTCCCGACAAGTCAGGATTAACGACTTTTGACATAGACTTTTTAATTAATTAAATATAAATATATATTTTGATTTAACATACTAATGTATTTAATTTATATAACATGCCAGTTGCATTGATTACTTAGGATTCCACATCCAGTACTTCACATGGAAAACACTTTAGGTTTTCAAAAGAAAATATTTTTACCAAGAATAATTAATTGTTAATAAATTATTCAAACAAATATTGCATTTAAAAACATGTGAAATCTGTGTTGTACCCAGAGGAAGGAGAAAAGGCCATGTGCACTCCGCAAAATGTTTTTTATGTGTAAAATCTTTAGAGAAACTAAAAGTGACATTATTTTCTAATATTATTATTGAAGATTTTTTTTACTGCCTTTTGGATTTTCTCTTATCACAGGCCACATATGTTCATCTTGTTAATGCTTTTACTTACTATTCACTAAACACACTAGATGACCACTGCAGTAGTCTAATTGTGAATATCAGAAAATGGTTGAATACACGTAAGGAAGTTACTATTTACATCTGCTAAGACAGAGCTACAAGAAGTGATGGGAAGCATCAATTTTATTGAAATTCCCATTCAAATCTAAAATGTTTTGGAGGATCATAGAGATACAGGTAGGGTAGGTAGAGACCTAACCTTTAAGCCAAGCCCTAAGCTTCACATGATATCCCATTTGGCGAAATAGCCTTTGAAAACAAAAAATTAAGAAATGGGCTTTTGAGTTCCTTTAGGACCCAAGGTCCTATTGTGTCAGCAATGCTTCCATTTCTCTCATCCATGTTTTACTCAAAGGAAATATCCCTATGCTATCCTTACTAAAATGGTATTGGTTATTCCTTTGGCATCTTTTCCTGCTATTCATTTTAGAACATTTCTGAATATCAGGTGATAGTTTTGAAAATGAGCACATTCATTTCATCTTTCCTTTAGACTCCATACTTGAACTATTCTTAACCTACGGAGTTAGTGAAAAGTGACATGACTCAATAATATTAATCATTATTAATTTTATGGTCAAGCAACCCTCAAAGAAAAATCCCACTCAGGAAATCTAGGTTCATCCACTAATGCGGAAAGTGCAGAATCGCCCCCTGCTGCGCACGTTTTTAAGAATTGCACAAACTCGGTATCCATGTACACATCGACCTATTTTCACTTGGAAAACTATCATAGAATTGCACAAATTCAGCACTGTGCAATCCCTTGACTTTGTCCATGTACACATCGATGTATTTTCACTTGAAAAGTAAAAGGAAATTAACAAAAATCCAATTCTTATTCTTGTAAAAGGCACCAAACATAACGCGCCAAAATAAGTACGCAATTCTGCACTTCACCCCCACTAATTTTAAAATGAGTAAGAAGAGACAACATTCCCTCTTAAATTTTCTTAAAAAATATCATGACACTGAAATGAAACATAAAATGCACAAAGAAGTATTGCATACTAAGCAATGCATGCTAAGACCCAGCAGCAAGCTGAAAGACAGATTCATCTGCAAAGCTCTACAAGTACATTTCATTCTAATTCAGGAATTGCTACAAAATCTTTACCCGACATTAAAATCCCTCTCTGAAATGAAAAATAAGATAAAATATCAAATTTTATACATGCTAAATTAACTGACGAAGAAAAACTTGTCTTAAAATACTTGCGATTCAACAGCAAAGTAGATATTTCCAAATTCTTCACTTGGCAAAGAAAGTATAAATAGAAAATATAAAGTATTATTTGATTATACTTGACTGCCTTATTCTAAAATTCAAGATAGAGAACACTATAAATGTTCCATATTAGCCAAGAAATATTCAGGCCAATCAAATAATCAAGCTTTAGGGCGAACACACTGTTTGGCAACAGGAGGAAAAAATAACAAGAATTTCTGGAATCTTCGGATTATGGTAACCTGGTGATTTTTTGGTGAAACTTTAGTGACCAACCCTGCTACAGCAACCTGTTATTTTTTTTTTTTTGACGCCATTTTGTTTTCACGAAGTAAAGGCTTTTTTTTTTCCTCAACATTTTTCCAACAATGCTAGCTGAATTACGCTTATGCTAGAACTTTTATGGAACAAAAGTGCTTAATCATGACGAAGATTAGGTGCGAAATTGGGACAAAGTGTAGAATCGCCCACTGCTTGCCGTGTTTTTAAGAATTGCATATACACGGTATCCAAGTATACGTCGACCTATTTTTACTTAAAAAACATCCCAGAATTGCAAAAAAATTGCATTGCGCACACTCTTGACTTTATCCATGTACACGTCGACCTATTTTCACTTAAAAAGTCAAAGAAAATTGACAAAAATCCAATTCTTCTTACTCTTGTAAAAAGCGCCAAACGAATAAGTGGGCAATTCTGCACTTTAGCAGCGAAATTGTTTCAAGTGCTTATTAGCTAAAATCCCGATTGGAATTTTCCGGAAAATGTCACATTACATGTCTCTATGATCTCTCATTTCTCCGAGACAAAATAATCTATGATTCAAACTGTGTACTTCTCATATCCTTACATATTCGAACTGTGTACCTTACTATATCCTAGATAATAACCTTTATCACCTTACCAAAATGTCGCCAAACTACTTGTTACCATATTCCAAAGATTAGCCAAATTTCCTGAATAAACATTTTTTATTATGTTTTTTTAATGATAAAACAATACTTGGTTGATCATCTTTAACAGTTTTATTTTAAATTTTATAAACTACATATATTCAATCTGCACTTCAAACTACAACATATAAAATTTTATTTATATAAATGTGCCTAAAAATCCAAATCGGATGAAAAAACATTTATTCTATGCTGTAATCGCTGAATCTGGTATCGTTAGAAAAGGAATTAATGCATAATCATTTTTGTGAGCTATAGCACATTACACATAATCATAAATATGATCAATATTAAAAGCTATAACACGTTCTATTCGCTTGAAAACGAAAATGCTTCATGATAAGAAAATTTAAGATTTGCGTACCATCTCCACTTGCTCATCAATAGAGCATAAATCATCGAAGATAATTGTTAATATTTTTGATTTTCCTTTCATTGGTTCAAACGGCGCAGATTCTGACGAAATTTTACTTTCCTCATGGTTGTAACAGAAAAGCACATTTTTATGTTCTTGAAAAAAATTTATAAACCTGGTTTTACCACAACCTACTCCTCCACCAACTAACACAATACAGGACATGATTCATAAGTAAATAAGAATAATCTAACACAGTTTATATTTTACATTTATAACAGGTCGCAACGTTTAGAGGTAATCAACATACACTATGAAACAATTAATTGCAGCTGGAAATTAGACTTTCGGTACCATCTTTCTGCCCAAAGGGGAAAGAAAGTAAGTTGTATAGTTGTAAAAGAAATAAAAGTAGAAACATAGGGCAAATTTTTACAACTAGGTAACGATTTTTTTTCGGGGGGGGGGTAGTCGGAGAGAGTTTCCGCTCTCTACCGGTTCGCTCCTGCTTAAACGTGCTTAGTCGTGGATGGCCTGGTCAGCTGCAGAATCGCGTGATTTGAAGTCACGTAAGGCGTCTGAACTTTCACCCTTCGCACTGCATTGTGTGGACACTTCAAGCGAAGACTTCTTATTACGTTGATTACGTGCTATATTTTTTTATTATTCGTGTCTTTTTTATTGCTAAATTTAAGTAATGTTGTTAAGGATATTTTCGTTTTTAAATTGAGATTACTAGTTAACTTATTTGTTAACAAGAATAACGATCGACGTCTACGTAGAGCTGTCTTCATCATGCCTGCACGATGTTGCGTTCCAGCATGCAAATCCAATTACGATGGCACTAATGAATATGTATCAGTATTCAAATTTCCAAAAGATACAGTAAAACGGGATTTATGGATCAAAAAAATTCCAAGGAAAAATTTTATTTCAAGTGATCGCAGCGTTGTGTGTGAAAAACATTTCGAAAAGATGATATTATTCGCTATGATTATTTACCAACAAACGAAGGTACTTTTATTCAGATGTGTAGAGAGGGCATCCTAAATTAAATAACGATGCTTACCCATGCATTTTTTCTGGTTGTCCAAAATACTTATCTGAAAGTCCAACCCCTCAGAGGATGAGCAGGGAGGAAAAAAGAGCTAAGATGGAGAAGCATATTTTTAATGAATTTTTGAGAAAGGACAAAATAGCATCATTTGAGGATTTTTCTTCTATGTTACCAAATAAATTAAATATTTCAGATACTTCAAATATTATTTTACACAAATCTGTTGCTGGTATTTATATTTTATTGCTCAGTTTTCATCCATATCCTAAAATTGAGAAAAGTATCTTTGTATCGCTTCATATAGATATAGCAGTTCATCTAGGAGATAACGTTGTTCCAGTTGAAAGTAAAGAAGAACAGTAAAGAAGTTGAACAGCATTCTTTACTGGTCAAACTTACCGAGATATATGTACAAAACATTAACATGTTTGATGTTCATGAAACTTGTTTAATGTGTGGAATTCCATTTTCTAGCAGATTAAAAAAATAATGAGCACCATTTCAATATTTGTTTAAACAATTATACTAAAGTTCTTCAAAATAATATGCATACAAAAATCGATGAAAGGAAACTTAAAAAAGTCAAGAATACGTGATGAAACGATATGAGTATGTAAATGACATTGTTTTATTTTTTAAAAATAGTGTACTAAATATGATGCAGTTCAAATATATTTTCAATAATGTATCTTTTACATTTAAATTTATTAATCCTTTTGCTGTTTCCTTATTATTTGATAATACTTCATAATTTTTCAAAATAAATTATCAATTGCGATTAATTATTGCTTCAGTATACTAGTACAACTTGCACAGTATTTGCTAATTAGACAGAAATGATGGTTTGTTCTATGTATAGTTGTTTTGAGGTTTTTCGTTGGCAAATTTATTGATTTTACGCTTTTGTGAAACATTATATGGATGGCTTTTATTTGTAAATATATTATTTATTATGCATCTACATATAATAATGTAAATATTATGTAAATGATTATTATAATTATTGCTATAGATAATAACATATAAATATGTGAAAATTATTCGTTTTCTGTAATGTTGCAGCAAAATTGTAATTTATTTAATTTACAAAGTTTTGAGATTTAAATTTTTTCTGTGGCTTTTCTGTTCATTTTATTAGATAGTAATTTAAATGAATTAAAAATACATTTGCATAATGTTTGGAAGCTCTGAAATATTTATAGTTTTAAGGAAAAATTATTTTTTATGTCTTTTAATTTGCTAAATTATATTTACTTTTGTTAGTGAATTATTTATATTTCTAAATCTTTTCATTCCTTTCCTTCTCAAACTGTAAAGACATTTTTATGTTAATAAATAACAGCCTTTTTATTTACTTATTTCAAAACTTTCTTTTTTGAGTGTATCCTAACAAATTATTACAATACAGTGTAAAAAAAATGCACAAGATAACCTAAAACATGGCATAGAAAATTTCGTGAATATTTCTTAAAAAATAATATTTGTTAAGTCATTAATCTTAACTGCAAATGAATATACGACCTTTTATATACGTTTTCAGTCAAGTCTCTGGAAATTTAATTATTATGCATTATTAAAAACAAAACACTCTAAACATCGAACGAAACGCTCGCATTCAAATCTGAAGCAAAGAAAGTCACGGAAGGATCGGACGCCTTTCGTGACGTCACTCGTAGCTAACCAGGCCATGTTATCTCGAAGGCCACGTTAGTGCGGAGCCTACGTTATGGAGTTTTGGGACCTCCCCAACTCATGGTCAGCAGCCCAGACCTCCAAAGCAGCTGGATTACAGCACAACGCCACCGGTGCCGGTCAGTCGGAGAGAGTATATTCTTATTCTTCTTTTCAGTGGAATTTTAGCTGATTGGAGCTAAATGTAAGAGGGTTTCTTTAGAGCATGCAGCGAAGAGAAGCGGTTATTCTGGGGCCATTTCATGAAAGAGTGATAGTAATGGCATGCCTCCAAGGGATTAGAGTAGTGTTTCTCAATTTTACTCCACCCATTTATAAAAAAAAAACTTAATGCTTGACGCTCCTAAGATCCTATATCCATAATTTTACAAAAATATGAAGGGGAAAAATACCAGAAATAATAAGGATCAATTATTTGTATATTAAAGAAATCAACGGTAGATACACAGGGATATTTAACTAAATTATTCAAGAGACAGCAACAATGATGAGCTTCTACAAGCTTAAAGTAAAAAATAATACGCCGAATAACAAATATTAAAGAGTTCACACAACAGGAATCCACGGTACCTTTTAAACATTTACAGTTGTAAGAACGATTGTAAATTATTTAATTGTTATTAGACCAAATATCTATTGAGAAAATGGCAACAGCTAATTTCTGGATGTCGTTCTATTTATAATTAGTCCAAATGGGCTTTGTCCCTGAAGGACTATTGTTTTCGTTTTGCGATTTTGCGTCAGACTCATAAACGTCGGTTCACTTTTCAAACTGTTGCTACAAAATGTTAGAGTCCTGTATTATATTTTAAGAAATTAAATAATGAAAAATCTGCATAAATGATTGTCTATTTCTCGCATTGTGATAAAACAATGGTACATAGAGCCATCGAATTTTGAATGACGAAATCCTACTGCGAATATGGGCATCTGAAATCTCAAATTTGGAATTTGTTTTATTATAGATTTTATATTTTGTAAAACTTTAACGAATTTTTTGATTTACAAACTCAATGCTTTAAAAGCGAGAAATGGTCAACGTTATATAGAAAAAAAAATAATTTTTATCTCCAGCTCGCGAGACTGTGTATATCGGAAATTCTAAAGATATGCTTAATTTAACATTATTTGCGCGATTTGCTCTTGAACTGAATTTTATGGTTTAAGTGCAAAGAACATGATATTTAATAAATAAAGGTAACACTCAAAACATTAAAAAAACGCCCCTTTGGACGTAATTTAAAATCTGAAACATTTCAGATTTTTATTTTTATCATTATTTTTTTTTTAAATATACTTGCAGATGATGTACGCTTCAAATGTTTAACGGTGCGATGCAGTAAGTACGTTTGTTATGTTATGTACGTTTACGAATACGTTACGTATAAGTTATTAAGATTTATCTTTAAATAAATGTTTGTCTTTTACAACCATTTTACGAGTGATTAATTTAACTACAAAAGGAAGTTAACACAGTACTAGTTTCGGAGGTTTGACTGCAGAACATTCCTATTTAGCTGCAGGAGTAAAAAATGATGACAGAAAAGCTCGTGCTGAAGAGATACAATAAAAATAATAGGCTAGACAATGAGAAACTTCCATCAAAAAACAAAGCTTCTTACAAAGAACGCAGAAAATATAAAAAAAGACAAACATTTCATTCCCTTTCTTTTTATTCTTAATTTAGGTATCTACATATTTACTTATTATACACAGTTTTAAATCGTAAATAATAATAGCAAAAGCGTAGGATATTCATAAGGAGCAGCTCCTTATGACAATTAAATAAATGTAAAATCATCACCATTTTCACAAACTAAACATCCATATACAGATAGAATGCTTACTTTTATTGAATAAGAAGACATTTTTTAATTACTGTCATATAAGATTTTTTGAATTTCTCTATTTAACCACCCAAACAACAACAAAAAAATTTTTACTAAACTAGGATTTTTTTTAAACTCTTAACAATGAATTAAGATGTAAGAATTTCTTTCCATCTGTCTTAGTTTAAAGCAATAATATCTTTAAAATCCTTTTGAAAAATTAGCAGATTTTTATGCAAAGTAACTTCTTAACCTAAGGACTCGCCGTGCTACTTTGGTAGACGGTTGCACGGATTTTGGCAATTTGTTGGCGATTTTTCTTTTGGCGAGTAATACAACTTATGGTAAACCCATTGATATTAAGTTATTTATGGTAACCGATACTTTGTTGTCATTTTATTTAAAAAATAATGTGTTTTATTGTGCATAAATTCCGTGTTTTAAATATTATTTATGGCTTCTAAATATTAAAAATCAATTTAATTTTGCACTTTTTATTTGAAATAAAAATTTTATTGTTAAAATTATTGTTTATGAATATTTTATGTTGTGGATGATGTAATCCAATGACATCACCTTACTTTAAATGTAATTGGTTTTAATTATAAATTTAATCTAATGTTTTAAACATTATTTATGGCTGTTAAATACTTAAAATACAATTTAATTTTGCATTTTTTAAAAAATGATTTTATTATGTATAAATTTTTAAATAATTTTAATTCTAGGCGTGATGTAATAAACTCTCTGATTGGTTATAGAATATTTGGGCATTAACAAGCTATAATCAGCTCTCTGATTGGTTTCTGAAAATTTGTGCATTTCCGCGCCGTTTTAAAATTTAATTCATATCTTCGTATTCCTTGAAAGATGTCTTCAAAGATGTTATTTAAATTATGATTTCGATTGATTTTTTTTGTGGTACTTATCAATAAGAAATAG